GATCCTGCTTCTCCCTCTGCCTACCGCTCCCCATGCTTGTGCTCTCTCTCTCTCTGACAAATCTTTAAAAAAAAAAAAAAGTAATACCAAATCCTTTCCTCAGAATACATGTATCTAAAAATAACAAATAAGAAATACAGTGGTAAATGTGGTGAATGCTCTAATAAAAGCACACATGTGCTAACAGATATATGGGGAGGGGTTTGGACAAGAGGAACCTGCAAAGACATCATGAAATAGGTAGCATTTTAGGCCGTAAAGGATAGGTAGGATTTTTATCTTTAGTGTTTACTTTTTATTTTCCCCCAGTTATTAAAAGAATACTCATTGCAGAAAATTGAAAGTAGAAAATCAGAAAATAGGAGGAAAAACAATCACCCAAAGAACTGCAGTCAACATTTTGGCATGTGCATACAGAGTTGAATCTATGGAATTTAAAAATATGTATCTGAAGGCATGCTATATATAACATTAGTTATCCCATTTTTTCCCCTTAAACATTGGATCCTAAGGATGTTCCTTCATTATTAGAAATTTTGTGACATTGGACATTCCCATATCAATCAAAATTTTCTACTGGGAGACTAACATTTGAATATATATGTATGCAGAATACTAGAATTTTTTTCCCCATTTTATTAAGAAATAATTTATATTACTGTATAACTTCAAGGCATACAGCTTGATGGTTGGATTTACATGTATTATGAAATGGTTATCACAGTAGGTTCAGCTAACATCCATCATGTCAGATGGATAAAGTAAACAGAAAAGAAAAAAGAAAAAAAGTTTTCTCCTTGTGATAAGAACTCTTGGGGTTTACTCTCTTAACTTTTTTTTTTTTTTAGAGAGGGAGGGGTGGGGTTGAAGAGCAGGGGAAGAGGGAGAGACTTTCTCTGTGAAATAAATAAATAAAATCTTAAAAAAAGAGAGAGAGAGAGACAATCCTAAGCAGGCTCCACGCGTGGAGCCCAATTTGGGGCTTGATTTCACAATTCTGAGATCACAACCTGAGCCGAAATCAAGAGTTGGATGCTCAACCAACTGAGCCACCCAGGTGCCCCCTCTTAACCTTAGTCCTTATTTATCTTATAACTGGAAGTTTGTACCTTTTGACTACCTTCCTCTTTTTCCCCCTCTCTCCACCCTCTGCCACCTCTGGTAACCACAAGTCTGATCTCTTTTTCTGGGTTTGGGTTTTGGTTTTTTGTTTTGATTTTTTTTTTTTTTTAAATTCCTGATGTGAGATCCTACAGTATTTGTTTTTCTGTGTATGACTTATTTCACTTAGCATAATGCCTTCAAGGTCCATATGTGTTATCTCAAATGGTAGGATTTCCTCATTTTTTAATAACTGAGTAATATGCATATATTAACATAGGCACACACCCCCCACAACTTTATCCATTCATCCATCGATGGACACTTAGGTTGTTTCTATGTCTTGGCTTTTGTACATAATGCTGCTGTGAACATGGGGGTACAGATATCTTTTCAAGTTAGAGAACACTAGGATTTTGATGGATAAGGCCATTCCGGGAAAAAGGAATACTAAAAAGAAGTGCAAAAATCTAGAGTTACAGTCCATGATAGAGGACTGGTGAGCCATCTTGCTTCTCTCTATTCCTCATGATACCTTTCACAGAGTAAGCAGTTGATACAAATGTTGAATGAATGTGTAGTAATTTGTATGATTCTGTGAATAGAGTTGACCCGTGAAGGATTTTTATCAGCCTATATGTGATTTCAGAATAAAAATGTTATGGTATACTTTGGTAGGTTGTTTCAAATTTTAAGTCTCTTCTCATTGCTGGGGAAAAAAACAGATTCACAAATAATTTCAGTGCTATTATTGTAATATTTAAAATTATAACTTGATTATTGCTAAGTTTAAAAATTTGCTGCCAGTAATTTGCAAACCACTAAATATCCCATATCTGATATTTCTATATGAGGATATCCCATTTCTCTTTACATATGTTTATAAATATTTGTGAAAATAATATTCTTTGCAGGTGGTAGAACACTACAGGACTTGACAAATACCAGTTTTGTTTCAAATAATGCTGCTAAAGCTGAAAATAAGTCAGAAAATCCATCTGTAGAGCCACCAAGCCGAAGAAGAAGGTGTACTCCTCTCTCTTTAAAGGAGCCAAATCTCAAAAGGTAAGTATTTCAGTGATATTAAAATGATTTCAGTGTGATATTATAAACTATATGCTTTAAAAGAAATTCCTGCCTGAATTAGTATTTGAACATTTCTGAATATCAATATATTTTTGACATATAATAATCACAGTATGATCTGGGTAAGATTTGAAGAAATGTCTTCTTTTATTCTTTGAACAGACTTTGTAAAAAAAACTTTGTTCCCTATGATTTGCAAACCACTATTTCCATGTCTGTTATCTTCATTTGTGTTCCCTAGAAGAATTCAAAGTAGCTTATTTGTTCTTTAGCCTTAAAGAGTAATAGTCTTTTTCTTTCTTTTTTTAAATTTCAAACAGGGCGCCTGGGTGGCTGAGTCAGTTAAGCGTCCAACTCTTGATTTTATCTCAGGTCATGATCTCAGGGTTGTGAGATCAAGCCCCGAGTTGGGCTCCATGCTCAGCAGGGAGTCTGCTTGAGATTCTCTCTCTCCTTCTCCCTCTGCCCTACCCACCCCCATGCGTGTACATGCTCTCTCTCTCTAAAATATCTCTCTCTAAAATATCTCTCTCTAAAATAAATAGGGTCGCCTGGGTGGCTCAGTTGGTTAAGCATCTACCTTCGGCTCAGGTCATGATCCCAGGTCCTGGGATCCCTGCTCAGTGGGGAGCCTGCTTCTCCCTCTGCCCCCACCGTGCTCTGTTTGTCTGTCTCTCTGTCAGATAGATAGAGAGACAGACAGACAGATAGATAGATAGACAGACAGAGAGAGAGATTTGTCTATTTTTTTTAAATATATAAAACATACCCCAACAAAGGGAAAATAGTACTCCACCTTCTTATCCACCATCCCTCAGCTTCAATTGTTATCAGTATTTTGCCTTATTTATTTCATCTATCCTTTTTTGTTGTAGTATTTTTAAAGCAAATCCCTAATATTGGGTCATTTAATTCCAAAAACACTTCTGTGTATCTCTCTTAAAAAAAGGAACTTCTTAACAAAACTAGATTAATAGTGATCACAGCAATTATCTATATGAATTAGCAACATTTTTTACTGTCATCTAACAGCCAGTCCCTATTCAAATTTCTTTAATTATCTCAAAATATATCCAAATGCCTTTTACATGTGTTTTATGGAAAATCTCACTTTTTTAAAAGGATAAATGAAGTAGCCTGTTTTGCTGAACCCAATCATATTTGGGATCATATATTCAAAAAGATAGAGAAAACTATCCTTAAATTTTCTCATCCTTTGCATTGTTTCAGTATTTACTTCTTTTATAAAATGAAAGGCCAAGTTGATCGTTCTGACAGGTATTTTGAAACAATAACAGGTGTGGAGCAAAAGCTCTCATTCACTGCTGGTGGGAAAGCCAAAGGGTACAGCCATTTTGCAAGACAGCTTGGTGGTTTCTTAGAAAACTTAACGTATACTTTTCTGTATGACCCAGCAATCACACTCCTTGGTATTTACCCAAAGGGGTTGAAAACTTATGTCTACACAAAAATCTGCACATGGATATTTATGGCAGCTTTATTCACATCGCCAAAACTAGGAAGCAACCAAGATGTCCTTCAGTAGGTGAATGGGGAAATAAACTGTGGTATATCTAGACAGTGGAATATTACTCGGTACTAAAAAGAAATGAGGTATCAAGGCATGAAAAGACAAGGAAGAGTCACAAATGCATTTAACTAAGTGAAAGAAGCCAATCTGAGAAGGCTACTTACTGTATAATTCCAACTATATGACATTTTGGAAGAGGCAAAGCTATGAAGACAGTAAAAAGATCAGTGGTTGTCAGGGAGGGGGCAGGGGAGACAGATGAACAGGTGGAGCACAGAAGATTTTTAGGGCAGTGAAAATACTCTGTATGATACTATAATGATAGATATTTGTCATTATACATTTTTCCAAACCCTTAGGATGTACAACACCAAGAGGGAACCCTAAGATAAACTATAGGCTTCAACTGATTATGATGTGTTAGTGTAGATTCATCGTGAATAAAATATATACAATGCTTGTGATAATGTTGACAATGGGGACGGCTAGGCGTAGGTAAGGGCAGAGGGCATATGGCAAATCTCTACCTTCCTCTCTATATTATTGTAAACCTAAAACTGCTCTAAAAAAATAAAGTCTTAAAAAAAAACCCAATAACCAACACATTGTAGCAATACAAGGGAGGGTGAGAGAGAAACAAAAGTGAAATAAAGGATCAAACAGTTTTTTTTTTGTTTTTTTTTTTTTTT